AGGATAAATATCTAAAAACTCAAGCAATCTCATAATTCACAGTTATAAGCCTCCTGTTCTCATTTCCTTGGAATAAAGACCCCAGCATCTACCCAGAGCTTCATTCCACACTTCTTGTTATCTTGCTCTGTTTTCTAATTTTAAATTGTTTTGCCCCTTAAAAGCAAAAAGTATCCAAAGCAGTACAACTCTTTGTTGTTTTTTTATCCTTTTAGGAGCCTGAAGGAGAAGTGGGGGTAAATGACCCCCTTAAACCAAATCAAATAACCATTTGCTCAAAATGTTTCCTCTGAGTTAGTAGTCAGTTTTGGGGAGAGGTTTATTTCATCCTTTTCCTTCTCTCTTTGGTGAGGGATTGTTCTCCTCAATCTCCAACTCTGAGAGTTCGTCTAATTACTCAAAGTAGAGCTTGAATGACTTCTAGGCTGCCTGGAATATGCACTTGACTATAACTACAGCAGTAATAGTAATATTTAAAATAATGTATCAATAGAATGGAGTGCCTACCAGAAAAACAGCGTTCAGAGAGGCAAAACTGGTGGAGAGAATGGCTTGCGGGACTCAACAATCTGGTTCCTAGAATGATAACCTCTGATATGAAATTTCCCAGAGCTGTAGTGAAATATGCTCCCAGTTACCAGCTTTCCTGGTCTGACTACGTAGTCACCAAGCCAGATTTCCCTTGTTTCTTGATAATGGGAAGGAGATGAAGAGGATGCTTCAGATAAGGAACACAAGTTTTATGATCTTTGAAAACTAGTATATCTCTATTGTAAAATAATACATTTTAGTAAGGAATGCTATCAACTTAGTAAGTGGCATTAACTTAGTATCAACTAAGTAATGCTATCAATTTTAGTAAGGAATTCTATCAATGCAAATAATCACTTATGTTTGTCATTTTTTAGTGTGGTTTCTACATGATGTTCAATCTTACTGTTAGTTCTGAATAGAAGACCTTATTTTTTTTCCTATTTGCTTTCATCCTGACATTCCCATTCTCATTATATTGGAAACTAAAGAGAGGCACAAAAATCAAGGTAGTTCATATGTTTTGAGAATTTGGTTGGTATGAGCCATCACTGAGAGCCTGGGTATTCTGAAAAAGTTGTTTCTGGACCTCAAGCCTGAAGACCAAACTCTAGACTGTTGATCCACTGCCCTACGAAAGATCCAACCTCATGACATCTCACCAAAGCATCCTCATCACCTAACAGCAGTGTTTAAATACTGCCAACATAGCTGGTTTGTTTGGCCAATTTAATCAATTGGACACTTTGGAGATGTTATTTGACAGAACTAAGGTGCCTTCTGTGAGATCCTGGTTTAAACATGATGCTCAGACCTGAAGGTGTCTTCAGGGAAAAGAAAAATTGAAACTCTTCCATCTTTTTATGCATTGGGGACCAGATTCAGCTGAAAGCATCTGGTCTCAGGAATGTACTGAGTCAGACATCCATTCATCTCACTACATGCATTCCACCTTGTTAACTGATTTAATAGTCCTCTCTCACTCTATGTCATGCCTAAACAGACAGTTAATTCAATGCAAATAATCACTTATGTTTGTCATTTTTTGGTGTGGTTTCTACAAGATGTTCAATCTTACTGTTAGTTCTGAATAGAAGACCTTATGTTTTTTCCTCTTTGCTTTCATCCTGACATTCCTGTTCTCATTATATTTGAAACTAAAGAGAGGCACAAAAATAATCTGCAAAGACTTATCAATAAAGGGAAATCTTAACTACCCCAAGGTCTGGAAAAATCCAGTGCCAATTAGAGTGAGGCTTCCCTATAAGTAAGTGAATTGAAAAAAGATTGGTATAAAGTATATTTGTGGGTGTATGGGTGTAAATGGCGTGTGTGTGTGTGAAGTTGGGAGAAGTGGAAATAACATTGGTCTGGATAGAGACTCAGAGAGGTGGCTGAGACGGGGGAAAATTAAAATGATTCTGAAAAACTTAGACTGAAAAAGAAGACCCTATATATTTAATCATTTCATAACTTGTAGCTCTAATCCTCATCTCTATAACCAGGGCATTTATGTCCAGACTTTTGCATTTACGTATTTCTTTTCACCTTCAAAGTCTTGTCTGTGTGCGAGGGTTGGAGTGAGGGGGCAAATGAAATTTTTATAAACCCTGCAGCCTTCTAGCAGAGGAGAAATTCTTCTCAAGAACATATTTTTTTTTTTCCTTTTTACCCTGGTCCTTTACAATTTACTGTTAAGTAATCTCACAATAAACCATAAGTATTTATTAGAAAAAAATTAATTTAATTTGATTTACACCATCATTTAATTCTGCTAGCCCAGCTGCACTTGTCCTGAAGAGCTGCATAATTTATGCAAATGATCAGAAGCTTTTGAAGTCAATTTTCCAGCAGAAAAATTACCCCCTGTCCTCAGGAGAGTGAAATTTTTGTGTTATACTGCTTCCTGTGACTGACATTTATTTGAATCTCAAGAGTATTTACATCGTTGGCTCAACTGAGAGTTTTTTGCTGAATCAATAATATGCTGTATTTCTTGCTCCAAGTGGTGTCAATATTACTGCTATCCCCTTTTTTCTTTTTTCCTTAATTCATGCAGTTACAAAATTTTTCTTTGACTTGTGAAAATTTTTACTCCTGAAATTACGAATAAACAGAACAAATGTTCTTTTAATCATCTGGGAAATGTGTGCCTCTTTAAACTTTATTTATGTCAGACCTTACTGTAATGAAGGACGAAAGCTCTAGACAAGGTCCCCTGCTCGTAGGGGGTGTTCAAGGCTAGGTCTCCCTGAGGCAAGCCTGCATTTTGTTCTCAAGAGTTTATAGCTCACCTCTTGGCTGTTTCTTTGCAAGGGGCATGAGAGGGGGTTAGAAATAGAGCAGGGTGAAAATCTGACCCATTGTGACCACTCAGGAGGCTCTGGCCTGGAAAATTCCCCTGTATGTGGCAAAAACAAACATTTGAAATGGAGGGAGAAACCAGGCTTAAACAAAGAGTGAAACCAGTTCCCCTTTCAACTTTCCTGCTGATAAACAGATGTGCCCACTCACTTGTTTCCCACACATCAGTTTTCCATCATTTGAACAGAGCCTCAACCTGAATCTGTCCAGAGCATAGAAAACAAATATTGTGAGATATAATAAAATGGTGAGTATGTTCATCAGAAGCTTTTTGTCAATGTTCAAGCTCAGTCTACCAAAAGAAATGCTTACAAGAGCGGTTTGCAAGTGTTTGAATCCTACTGTATTTTTCAGGTACCCGTGATTTCTTCTTACTGGTCTGTTCTGCCCGTGTGCTACGGGATTGACTTCAATATTAATGGGGAAAAAACAATTGTCAAAAGCCATTGCTTTGTCTTGTGTCATTTGTAATTTTGTCCTCTGTCACCCACACTTGCTTCTCCTTCCTTGTTCTTCTGCTGAACTCCTTACTTAGGTGAGCAGCTACCTCCTCAGAGCCTGCCTGCATTCCCTACCTGCAGCCCGTAGCATGGAGAGGTGCACTCTTACTGATTGTCTAAAAAGTACTATCCATAGAAATAATTGGAATCCTCTTACCCTTTTAAGTGACTTAGGTTCTCTGATTTTTGTTACTAACTATAGAAAACTATCTAGTCACTCACTGTGGTCTCCATTTTGGAAATAAAATTAAGAAAAACATTTTCCCCTACATAACAATCTTTCAAACTCTTTTCCCCTTCTTTGGTGCTTTTGTAATAGCTTGTAAGTGATCAGCTGTGATTTTCTTTAAATGCTGCATGTTTCCTTTTTGCCAGGCCAAAGAGTAGGATTAAAGGACCAGCTTCCTCCTGTAGTATAGAGGTTAAGAGCGTGTGTGACCTCTGACATTAGTTTGCATTGGTTTAAATTCAAGCGTCCTCATTTAATAGCTATGTAACCTCAAAAAAGTTATTTAAACTCAGTGAGCCTTAGTTTCGTGATTTATAAAACAGGGGTAATACTAATAGCTAATAATAGCAATTACTATGTGCTAGGCATGATTTTATGCACTTTAAATATATTAGCTCATTTAATCGTCATAACTCTCTGATGTCTCTAATTAATATCATCCCCATTTTTCAGATGAGAAAACTGAGACAAAAAGAAGGAATGTAACTTGGCCAACGTCATAGAATTAGGGAGGGTAGAGCTGAGCTTGTGAAGTCAGGTAGTTGGATTCCAGAGGCCATATACTTACCAGTATGTGATACTGCCTGTTTATTAAACTATTGAGTATAAAGCACTTAGCACAGTGTTTGGTGCATAGCATTTATTGTCAGCTAGTATTATTACTACCATCACCTCTTCTTGTCTCTTTTCATTTTGTCACTCTTGCTTCTACTGGACTGATTGTGTAAAGTTGATTGGCCCCATCCCCACAAGAAGAAAAGATTGTAACAACACCAACAGTGATCTAGTCACCTTTTGTACTTTGTATTTAAACCACAAATATGACAGAGACCTACAAAAGGAGGCACTAAATGTTAATACCTCCTTTCCATCACATGAAAATTATATCCCTCTTATCTCCAACCCTCCAGCAACAAGCCAACAAAAACTACTTAAAGCAGGGGAGAAGTTTTAGAAGCTATTGACCTCAAGTAAAGTTGCTACCATTCTTTAATACACATTAATAAAAATTTCAAAAAGTAATGAAGGTTGTAAAAAAATGTTGGTGAACAAAGACTCTGCTACTAGAATAAATTCCCTAGTCTCCACTCCTTAACTCATTTTATAATGCCAGTATCAGGGAAAAAGAAAGAGAAAATTCTACAAATAATTATATTCTTCTTTTAAAGTAAGCCACTGACTTCAAAATTCTCTAGCACATTTGTGGAAACTTCATTTTTTGTTTAAGATTTATTTGAATGAGCTGTTATGATTGGAGACAGTGAAAATTTCAGATTAATGTTTTGCAGCCAAAAAAAAAAAAAAAAAATCCTCTGGAAAGCTGGCAAGTGTTCATAAGTCAGCCCTGGAATTATGTAGGTTGAAGGCTCCCAGTGGACAGACCGAACATATAAGAAGGAAACCAGAGATCTGGTGCTATTACGTCCCAGAGTCTAAGGGAACGGATAAGCACAGAATTCAAAGCATTTTTCAGCCTGAATTTTTAAGGTAAGTCTGAACAATTTATATAGACTTTATTTGGAAAGTAGAACATACATTAAATGAAAACATTTTTCATGAATAAACTTTCCCTTTTTCTTTCTTGTATTTTAATGCTGTAGTTTGCAAAACTCCTAAATTATTTAACTGCTGTTTCTCTTACAGGGGTGCATTAGGAACTAAGCAAGCTGATTTATGATAAATGCTTTAAACTCCAACAACCAGTAAGTCTTCAGTGGGATTTATTTTTTTATTTTTTTATGTTATTTTTTTAGGTCATACGAAAGAATGAGCTTTAGACAAAAATGATAGTTTTGCTGTTTATTAGGAGGTTTTTTGGTGATTACATTTTTATTTAGGTAGTTTATTTGTATGTATTTTGAAGCTATCTAAAGTAATAGTCTTTTTCTTAGTGTGTGTTTATCTTTAGCTAATTTTCTGTTGTCTTAGAATAATGTTGCTAGTAAAAAAAAGTCACAAAAACCTGAATATGGGCTATAACATTTGAGAACAAGGACTATTTAGTTCTATTAAACTGAAAAGATAGCAAAAGAAAAATAAGAGTATCTCATGATTAATCATTGATGTTCAATTCTTATTTCATTGAGGAATCAAAATTATTTTTACTTAACCCTAAAACAGGTTTGGCTATTTTTTTCTTTTTCTTTTCCTAATTAAGTTGAAAATGGATTGTTTTTCTACTAAATAGACTAAATTTAAAAATCTTTATCTAAAACTAATATTTTCTATTAAAATGGGAACAGAGGGCTTTTGGAAATATGCACATGTTCAATAATTTCTTAATTATATTATTATTGTGTGAACAATGGAAAAGTAGAACCAAAGGGATTATTTTTAATTAGCAAAAACCAACTATGATCCCTAATCCCAATATGTTCCTTTTGAATATTCTTTCAGTCTTTTGTACACTTACTTATTTTTTCCATAGCTCATGTTACTTATATTTTCCACAGCTGCAATGATTTGTATATAATTAGTTACTCGAATAAAGCATTTCTCTATGCAATAGCAGGCAGTGGCGTGGTTTCTAGAAAGTATACAAACTGAGATACATGCTTGAGTGTTTTTGAAATATTAATTTTTGTTATTTCTGGGTTCCTTCTTATTTGTTTCACACATTTTCTCTGCTGACTAACCTTTAGAAATATTAATTCTTTAAAACCTTTCAAAAACATGATAGAAAAGATGGGCAAAAGGTAGTTTTACTCAGAATGTGCCGTCCCTGAGGCTGAAATGTCTACTTGCTACTATTGAGAAAATTGTTTTTTCTTCTTCAAGAGATAAAATACATTCTTATTTCACAAGGCATGGTTCTGTTTCATGTTTTCTATAATCACCTGCTTTTTTTGGCTTTTGACAAACTTTCAAAATGCTCATGACTCAAGGACGTCCTAAGATCTGTAGGTGTTCTAAGAGTTCTTTTTTTTTTCCCCCACAGAAGGCATAAGAATTAGGAGCTGCTGACATTGCAAAATGAAGGGCAACCTCTCCCTTGCCACCATCAGCAAAAACATGACCAGCAGTCTTCACTTTGAACCTGCGAACATCTCTGGCAGCAATGAGTCTACCTTTAGCTGCTCACATAAACCATCAGATAAGCATTTAGATGCAATTCCTGTTCTCTACTACATTATTTTTGTGATTGGATTTCTTGTCAATGTTGTTGTGGTTACTCTGTTTTGTTGTCAAAAGGGTCCTAAAAAGGTTTCCAGCATTTACATCTTCAACCTGGCTGTGGCTGACTTACTCCTTTTGGCTACTCTTCCTCTCTGGGCAACCTATTATTCTTACAGATATGACTGGCTCTTTGGACCTATGATGTGCAAAGTTTTTGGTTCTTTCCTGACCTTGAACATGTTTGCAAGCATTTTTTTTATCACCTGCATGAGTGTTGATAGGTACCAATCAGTCATCTATCCCTTTCTGTCTCAAAGAAGAAATCCCTGGCAAGCATCTTATATAGTTCCCCTTGTTTGGTGTATGGCCTGTCTGTCCTCACTGCCAACATTTTATTTCCGAGATGTCAGAACCATTGAATACTTAGGAGTGAATGCTTGCATTATGGCTTTCCCACCTGAAAAATATGCCCAGTGGTCAGCTGGGATTGCCTTAATGAAAAATATCCTTGGTTTTATTATCCCTTTAATATTCATAGCAACATGCTATTTTGGAATCAGAAAACACTTACTGAAGACCAATAGCTATGGGAAGAACAGAATAACCCGTGACCAAGTCCTGAAGATGGCAGCTGCTGTTGTTCTGGCATTCGTCATTTGTTGGCTTCCCTTCCATGTTCTGACCTTCCTGGATGCTCTGGCCTGGATGGGTGTCATTAATAGCTGTGAAGTTATAGCAGTCATTGACCTGGCACTTCCTTTTGCCATCCTCCTGGGATTCACCAACAGCTGCGTTAATCCCTTTCTGTATTGTTTTGTTGGAAACCGGTTCCAGCAGAAGCTCCGCAGTGTGTTTAGGGTTCCAATTACTTGGCTTCAAGGCAAAAGAGAGAGGGTGTCTTGCCGGAAAAGCAGTTCTCTTAGGGAAATGGAGACCTTTGTGTCTTAAACATGAGAGTAGAATGCATATAGTCAACGTGGCTACTTGGTTTGAGGCCCACCTGAATTATCTTTAAATGGCTTTAGTAAAAAAATAAATTTTTCCCCTTAACCTAATCTTTTCTCACACTTCTAGAACAAGAAATCAAATGTAACTGTTTTTATTCTCCAGTGACTTTCAGGAATTGCCCATTGTTTTTCTGGTATATCAGTACAAGATTGTCACTGGTGAGAGATATCCATAAACTAGAAGTAACTGGGGATTTATCTCAAATTATAATTAATAATAAAGTGTGGATGATGATTTAGGATTTCAGATTTCTCCTTGAAAAACGCTGGCATTTCCTAGTGGGGTTTTATATCCATTTTCATCAGGCTTTCGTCTTGAACCAGGGCCAGTCTTTTAACTTGTTGCATTATTTACAAGACAACATAGTAAGAGAGATGAGCACTTCTAAGTTGTGTATATTATAATAGATTTGTACTGGATTACTTAGGCTCTGGGCATATGCTTCCTACTTTTTAAAAAAAATTGTGAATTATATTCCTTTCACATTTCACTTGAGCATAGGTTTATAGTTAAGATATAGCTACATATTGCGTAGAGCTAGGAATGTAGATTAAATCACGCTCCTAAGTTTTAGCTTATTTTTACAGTTATAGAAAGTAAAATGTATCATAACAGTATAGAAGTGCAATTAACAATTATTTGAGTGTTCATTAAACTCTGAATCAACATTTAAAAAAAAACCTTTCTATCTATTTCAACTATTGTTTAAAGGTTTCTATTTTCTCTCATAATTTTGAAAACAATAACTAAACACAGTGTATTATTATAAAATGTAAAGGTCACTTTGTACATCCTTGACCTTTTGAGTGTGGTGCTTTGATATATAGGACATTGACTTGACTTTTATTATTGATGCTTTGGTTCTGGGTTGCTTCCCAAAATATCTGAGTGATTTCATTAACTCTTTAACTTGTAATCAACATTTATCTGGCATAGGAGAATGGTATGCCAGAATGGAATTTTGATACCCCTGGGGGGGGGGGTGTAAATAGACCCAGCAAATGACAAGTTTGGTGAGAAGCAAGGAACCTGTCGGGGCAGTGCAATGTGTTTTTGAAAATAGACCATGGGGGAGTTTTAACCTATATCTACAGATACTGTTTGTTTCAGAATCTGCAGGATTCTATGAAGCTATTTTAAACCACTCACTGGTCTATAGATCTCCTTCTCAACACTATTGGAACTCCCAAATTAGAGGAGTACCTAAAACTGACTGAATTACTGAAAGCTTATTTCGATTAGAGTATGAATCCTGATTTTGGAAGTTCAATATTTCGTTCCGCACAAGCCCCATATTATACCAGGTTATCTAGGACCTTCCTAGACCAGTGCTGACTTCTGAGGTAGAACTAAAGTTCTAGAGGCTCAGCAGCTGTGTCAGGTTCCAGGGCTATAGATTGAAGAGTTCTCTCACACCCCTTTCTAGGAAAGTCCTAATTTCATGTAATCATATTATTTTCACTAAAAACAAATAGCTAAATGTATAATCAACCATGACTTCATATTTTAAATAATTTTGTAAAACATCTCGTAAAAATAAAATCTTTAATTGGAAGACCATGTGTGTTTATTCTTTAAATTTTAACTACCTCTAAGTGTAGATTCTCACCTTCTCTTGTACCTGTATCCTCCATTCAATCCCCACTGATACTTAGTTTCAATCCCCGTTGTTATTCATTTGGATTCTTGCCATACTCTGCTAGTCTCCCTCTCATGAGTATTCAGCCACAACTTTCTATTAACTATGAAAGCAAAGTCCAGATTTCTTATAATGGTCTGCAAGACCTTAGGAGATCTGATTCTTCCAGAATCTCTGGCCTTTTTCTCTCTGCCATCCCTCCCTTGCACCCTAAGTTCAAGCACCACAAAATGACTTACTGCTTTTTCAAGGCCTAATGCTTTTTCATGCCTCTCTGATTTTGTTCACACAAATCTGTCTTCTTGAACGCCCCTCCAATCATCCGTACCCCCAGGGCCTCTTGTCCAACTGATGAACATTTACTCAGTTTTCAACATTCAGTTCATACCATTTCCTCGACCACAATAATTATTATTATACTAATTATAATTCTACCCCCTGGGAGTTCCCTTATTGAACAGAATTGCTTCTCTAGTTCTTGGAATTTTAAGCCTGGCCTCTGCTTTCATAGAAGTTCAGTATTGAGCCCTGAGTAGTAGTCTCTTCCAGTGGTTTTCCCTAGGACTAAGAAGAAGTGTCAGTTGAGAGGATATTGCAAGATCATGTGAACTCTGACTGTAAGAATGTACAAAGGTATAAATCCTCTTTCCTCTTTGGAAATGTTAATTTCAGGTGAGCTTCTCAAATAGCAAATGAAACTGTATTCTTCTCATTTGGCTACTTTTCAAGGTATTACCTAATTCTCTTTCTTTTTTATGACCACATCTTTTTTGTCTCACCTAACATAATGCCCAGGAACCACATCATCATCATTATCATCATCATCATCATCATCATCATCATAAACAATAATAGCTACTATTTGGTGAGCATTATGTGCTAGGCACTAACTATTTTAAATACATTATCCCATTTTATTCTCACATTGACTCAATTATTTTCATTTTACAAATAAGGAAACTGAGGCACAGATGAGTCCTGACTAATCTTTAAATTTGGCTCTGAAGGATGAACTGGGTAGTCCCTTAAATATGAATCTTAGGCTACCAAGCAGATGTTTCAGAGACAGTCTTACACAGTGCCTCAACCTTCATCACAAACCTCAGTGCTCGAGCGTCCCAAACCTCAGCAGTACGAGAGCTTCTGGACAGGCGTTATATTTTCACCTATGAAGAAAAAGAGAGGAGGCAGATGGATGAGGCTTTCTCTTTTATTTTCCACTGCTCCATGCTAAACAGAGTTACATGAAGTCACTACTACCCCCTCTTGCTCCCTCTACCACTACACCATACCTCAAACATTTCTTTTGTGGAACAAATATGTTGATATGAACTTTAGCTCTTTGAAATGAGGTTATATAGGGTTACCAGAAAAAGTTATTTCTTGCAACTTGCAGAAAGAACATGTATTTTTATTATAGAAAGGCAAATGTTAATTATTTCCACATTTTATAGCCCTAAATCAGATCTACTAAACAGAATATTTTATAAATTTTTTCCACCTGATCTTTCGAGGCCTGCATTAAAATGAGGAGACAATCTGAAGGTAAGGACATTCTATTTTGGTTTTTCTTCTTTCTTTACCACAGAGATCTGAGGGTGGGAAACTGTCTGGTGGCCTCACATATTGACAAAAGAAAACTCCAAACTTGACAAAATGAATTAACACGAGGTGACTGAAGCAAAATGGGGTGGAGGTAATAAGGAAAATGTTAATGATTTTGTTAATTCCCAGATAAACTATATTAGCAGATAATTCTCACAAAATAACAGAAATTTAGAAGTTGTCAATAAAAATAATCACTTCTGCAAAAGATCAGTGGCCCAGAGATGAGTTGACCAGCTCACTTCTGTATAACCTACAAAGGTTATAACCTTCTGTACTAACCCTACAAAGGGTTAGTATTCTCCAAAAGAAAATTCTTTCTTTTTGGAATTCTTTTTCTGAGATGAGAGAATTATTTTCAAATGTCAGTCATCACATTGTGATACATTTATTAAAATATTTAAAATACTTTGACCCTAAGCTTCTGTCTGGTTTACTAGAAAATTTTCTTTCTTCCCTTATTTGGCTGTCCTTTTTCTATGATAAGTACAGGATCATCAGGGCTTTAAGCAATCCAAGAGATCACACCTGGTTACAAATGTCCAGTGGGTTGAAATACTGGAAAATCTGATAAGTGCACTGCCCATTCTCTACAGTCCTTGTTGTTACATTATTTAGCAGTTGGTCCACATAAGAACAGATGGCTCAGTAGTTTGGTGCAGATTCCTGTCCACTTCAGTAGTTTTGAAGTGATCTAGGCACAAGCCACCTGATAAGGGTGTAAGAGAAAGAAAAAGGAAGACTCTTTCTCTTTCCAGTGTTACACTCACCTATATCCAATGCATGCCACAGTAGACCTGGGGTCAAACACATCTTACTCTGTTTTGGCACTTCCACAGAGCCAGGAGCAATCAGCAGAAAATCAGCAGGAGGAATATGCTGTGCCAGGAATCAGTCTTGTCCTTCCTTAAACTAATCTCTCCTGTGCAGCTGGAGTCACATTTCAAACTTCTCCTCAATATAAATGAGTATTCCTGATTGGGGGAGAGAGTGGGTAGTGGGGCTGATGTTCCTTCTTGATGAAATCAGTAGGGACCATCTTAGTGTATAAGATGTACTGTAATAACTGAATTTCTTAGAAAAAGGGTCTAGTTCTTGATTCCCTTCCTCTCAGAAGGCTCCCTTTCCAACTGCCTCTTCCTCTCCCAAAAAAACTCAAGCTCAATATACTAATGTATACAGAACACAGTTCGCACAGTTCCATTTGCCTGAAAAATTGGAACCCTCAGATCATTGCCAACCGCCCCCCCCCCCAAATTTCCAGTTATAGTCTTCTTTCAGAACAATGGATTACTATTTACTCTAACAATGTTATTCATATAACAAAAAGGGCCACTGGAGTGATAAGTCCTATTAAAAAATGTTTTTACCCCACTGTTTTCTAATGTTATAACAGCTTGAAATATTTGTGGATAACAAATTTGAAATCATATTTTTTTCTTCCTCCCAGTAAAAAGTAAAAATCTGCCTCACTGGGTATTCTGTTATCTATTGCTATAGACTAAATTGTGCCCACCCCCCAAATTCATATGTTAAATCACAATGATATTGTGAAATATATACTTGGTCTTCATCTCTGTTTCCTGGCATATAACTCTTAAAATTTTTGGAATCTTTAAAGCAATAGGTGTTTTTTTTTTTTTTGCACACAAATTAGTTGACTGATGGCTGGCAGCCCCTAGGTAGCTTCAGGATGGGGGCCAGTCACAGGAAAGAATTTCAGCCCCACCCCTAACCTCTGATGATGTAAGAAGGGCTGAAGGTTAAGTTGATCACCAATAGCCAATGATTTAATTAATCATGCCTACATAACAAAGCTTCCACAAAAACCCAAAGGACTAGGTTTCAGATAGCTGCACATGTGGAGGTTCCTTGAGGGCAGTGTGCCCAGAGAGGACATGGAAGCTCCCTCCCCCTTCCCACATACCTTGCACTATGCATCTCTTCCATCTGGTGTTTATCAATATCTTTTGTAATATCCTTCTTAATAAAACAGTAAAGGCAAGTAAGTATTTCCCTGAGTTCCATAAGCCACTCTAGTAAATTAATCGAGTCCAAGGACGGGGTTGTGGGAATCCCAATTGATACCTGGTTAGTCAGAGGCACAAGTAAAACAACCTAGGGCCCACAATAGGCATCAAAAGTGGAAGGCAGTCTTATAAGACTGAGCCCTCAATCTGTAGAATCTGGTACTTTCTCTAGGTAGACAGTGTTGGAACTGAATTAGAGGACACCCACCTGTTGTCTGCTTGAAAGAGAGTAAGGTGAGGCCTGTCAACTAAACTGAGTCCATTTTCTCTGTGGAGGACACTTTGTTACTTTTCTACTCCTCAGTCATGAGACCCCCAGAGCACATGATTACTCTATGGGCTGCCCTGATAAAATAGACTGAGAAAGAGAGGAAACATATTCACTGAATTGTAAAACCCCTCCCCAAGTCTTGTTTACCATAATTGTAAAAATTAAGTTAGCAGAGTAAACTTAAGACCCTTTTAAGAATTTCCACATGCACACAAAGCTTCAAGGTGACTGCTACAATGACCCTCCTGGGGTGACAATGATGAATACCACCACCATCTTGGACCTACTGAACAGGCTCAAGGACCAAAGCTCTAAAAGAGCATGCATCCATGATACAACCAGGAAGAACAGAATGGACCACTTCCAGTGATGCTGGCTTGTACCCTTAACTCCTTTTCCTATAAAAGACACTGAACAGCTCCCCCCGGGGGCCTAGCTTTACTGTCGCTACCCCCATTATGCATAAGTCTATTTCCTCTTTTCATAATGCATTGCTTGTTTTACTGCTGGGTACATTGTTCATTTCTATGACTTTGGAACCCAATAGCCTAATTCAGCCACCAGTGAAAACTGGAAAGCTTTGGGCACCAGAGAAGACTCTAGGTGCAGAGGCAAGTGGCCACTGGGACTATTTTTCTCTGCTGCTTGTAAGTCTCTCCTGGAGTCCCTGGCCTAAATTCTGAAAAGCAATGCTTTATTCTCTTTTACTCTCTTTTCCCCCGCTTTCCTTCCTCTTTAAAGTGACTGCCGGACAACTACAGCTTAAACTCCTCTCAGCCTGTGAGAAGCATGCTCCCTGTGGCTGACAGTGGCTGGCCCTGGCTGGTAACCAGCAGAGGTGGAAAGGCCGGTCCTACACCATGAAGATCGTGCATGGACAGATTCTCCTTGACAGGAGATGCATGAGAGTGGTAGGGATTCATTCTCATGCCATGCAGTGACTGGCAGTCCAGAAGCTGCTAAAATTCTCTTTACCTTTCTCTGATTTTCTGGGCCCTCTTCTGCTGTTTGG